AGTTACAGAGTGTGCCCCTTAGCTGCTCAGACTCGGACAATGCAGTCTCACTCCACACAAACACCAGTCTGCTGCTGAATCCCTTACCAAAGCATCCCCTCCAGCACAGCACCACATCCTGCCACAGCCCTTCCCCTCCCTCCCACAGCTCGAGCACAGGTGTTCCTATAGTCTTGTTTTCCATCACTGCTACAAAAGACTGATGACTCTTGTGTACAAAGGAGACAAGGACATACATATGATAAACAATCATCATTCCTCAAATAATTTAGCTTTGTAATTCCTTCTTTCATGTGGCCTGAAGTCAGGTGCAGTATTTGTGTAGTAATTCTAATTGTTCAGACTTGCTTTTTGTGTGTACAAACATAAATTATAATAGGATTGTCATTAAAAAATAATTACTGCTTTTGTCTCCTATTTCTGAGTTATCAGCATGTTAAAAATAGAAGCAACCCCTTTTTTTTCCCATTTCAAAATCTTGTTAATTATCTGAGTATGACTACCCAAGGTGTACATAATTATTTCATAATAGGGTAATTAAAGTCCCATGGTCAATGCTTTGGGATTTTCAAAATAAAATGCAAAGTCAGTATTGAATAAAAATGTACAGAGAGGAAAGCATAGAACAATTACTTCACAAAATTGTAAGTTTTTGAATTCATCTAAAAACCACCCAATTTTCTGCTTTACCTAATGTTTTTGTTGTGGCTTTTCTACTACCTCAGTGGTAAAACATGTGAGAATTATTTTTTATGTGGACATCTCAAATCAAATTCTTGGCTCTAGTGGGCAAGTCAGTTTTACCTAACAAACCTCTGTGATGTGGTTACTCCAACATCAGCAGCTCAAATCCACCAGAAAACATAACGGAGGAAGATCAGAGAAATTTAGGAGGTAAAAATATATATGCCCAAACTGACTAGGAATGAATATATAGGGAGCACAAAAAGAAGAGCTGGTAGGCAGAGAGAAAGAAGATCCAATACAGAACATGCACAAAAGACCATTTCACATGTCTGGCTGTATCCCTCCCATTTAGATAAACCTAACTCAGGAAGGTTTCCTCAAAGAAAAGAATGTGGTCATTTTGGGGCTGTCTCCCTTCTTCATTTCTTGATGTTGAATAAAAATACCTGTCCATTGCTGAAAAGTCACATTTTCCTACCTCTTACAACTAAACTCTTACATTCAACCTTCCAAAACAGATCTTGTAGAAAAAAAAACAAACCCTTTTCATATATTGTGAACAAGTATATTGATTTATAAGAACACTTAAAAACAGCAATAACTTTACTTCCTTATCTAATAATAGAAAAGCAGTGCTAAAGAAGGAACAGTGTGAAAAAAAAGAAATAAAATTTCACATCTGGAACAAAATACCCTCAGTTACCCAAAGATGATGTCTATCAGCAGATTTTCAACTTTTCTTACCCTGCAGCCATCAAAAAAGATCATGCCTTTCTTTAGAAAGCCCTGGTGTTCAGACTCAAGCCCTCTGAGCTACAAAACCTACAGCAATGAGCAGACATACTTTTAGGATTTTATTTAGCAAATGACAACATGGAAAGGTAAAATCAAGGCAAGAAACTTACAACTCAAAGACCATATAAAGCATTCCATCTGAGCTGTATGTCTCCAACAGTTCAACAATGTGAGGATGCTTCAGCATGTGACAAATACTGGCTTCTCTCTTCAGATCTGTGGAAGACAAGAAGGTAGTTGCAGGTTAGCTATATATTCAAGCTGTTTAGAACACTATGTTTGGAAATATGTACACATTTGAAATTTCTAAAAAATCAATTCATCTTTAAAAAGAACTCTGACAAGATGATATTTAATTATGCTTAATTCAAATACTCACATATGTCTCAAAATTTAACATATTCTTGAATTCACATATTAATAGAAGATCTCCTTGGTCATAATACGAAGAACTCTACAGAAGTAAGTTCCTTGAATGTACAGGTGCAGACTACACTGAGATTTTAATCCTAAATATTTAACAACACTGCAGAATCACCTCCAAATGCAGAAGACAGACTTACACCACACTACAGAACTAGTAAGAACTGGAGGTCTCTACTCTAAAGCCTCTGCTCAAAGCAAGGTGAAGCAGAGCAGATGGTGCAGGGCCACACCCAGCTGAGCTCTGAACATGTCCAGGTGTGGTAACTCCACAACCTGCCCCAGAAAACCTACACCGGTACCTGATCATCCTCAGAAGTAAAGAAGTATTTTTCTTACGGTTAAATTTCTTGCAGTTTACTTCTTCAATAGCATTTATTTTAAAATCACATAATATTAAATGATAATGGAAATTTTAATCAGCGTATGTTAGTTTGTGTCTCTGCTCTAGAAAAGAGTGAATAAAGTAGGAAAAGTTGCAGTTAAAAGAAGAGCAGAAACCGCTCTGAAATCTCTCAAATCTTGAAAGATTTTGTTTTAAACAACACACTTACTTTTTCTGATCACAAATCAATCCTTCTGCAGATAAAGAAATGCAAAAAACCAAACCACTCTGAATTAATTTTATTTCTTCTTTGTTGAAACAATTTGGTATTTCTGTTATTTAATCATCCTTAAACTTTTTTTAAGTTGTCTACTTACATTCTAGAAAGTATAGCAAAATCTTGAATGAATAGCTTTGATGATAATCTCATAAGTGAGGAAAATATCAGTATGAATTCTGAAGCACACATTTTACTTTCCTATTCTCTTTCCATACAATTGGTCATTGCTCAAGAATGACATACACATGCATTTATAGAGAAATAAAAACATGATTTCTTGGTTTGAGAACAATCACTATATAACTGGGCTACACTAGTAAGAAATTTACAATGCACTATTTTCACAGGTGCCCTCTTACATTCTTAACATGAATCAATTATACTGAAAAATGCAAGCAGCAAGATAAACATTCCTTTATATGAAGCATGTAACAGGTAACTCAGATTTATGCCAGACTCTGGATCTTTCAGCCATCTATACATTCAAATAAAAAGCTGAGAGTTTGGAAATGACTACATTTCAATCAAAAAAAAATATTAAGATCCCGAAGTGCAGATTTTGCTACCAGAACTTTCATATTACACCTGCATTATGTGTCCCCTCCCTCACAACCTTGCAAATACAATCTAAAAGCAAAATGACAGAGCAATCCTTTAGAAACCATAATGTAATGGCATCTTAGGAGGTGCCAGCAGAACAGCGAACAGAAGAATCATTCAGTGATACAGAAGAAATGTTGATAAAGAAATTAATGTAAAATTTGGCCTTTATTTTTCCATCTATTTATTTAGGTGAAATTCTACAACCTAAGGAAACAGCAGTATGTCTTTCACTATGGAAAATACTCACATTATCAGTTTTTCATCACCTTAATGCAGAATAACTACTGAAGCCACACTGTAACCTTCCCTTCCATCACAATAGGCAATGATTTGACACTAAATGGCTCCCACCCCTTTCCTAGGCAGAGAGGTTCACCCAAGTACACATCCAGTCCTTTCTAAACAGGATCAGATATGAGCACATTGAGACCAGTGTAAGAGAATGAAAAACTGTGATTCTGGGAATGACTATGATCTTCAGAAAACAGGCTGCTTTTATTTTGTCTCTTACTTTATAACAACTTTAATGCTACCACACTTTGCTGTGGATCCAATACCTATTTCAGATAGAAAGCCAAGTGAAAATACCCAACATGAAATTGCAGGAAAGTTCTGCTTTATATACAGGCAAAGACTGTGTTCAAAATAGTTTATTTTGGCTGCTCCCTTTATTAATACTTTGTGGGCTTTATTTGAAAGGAATTAGAACTGAAAGGAAGAAAGTATATGCTGCCATTTCCCTCATTCCTCTGTGTAATATTGGATGAGTGCAGCAATTGCTCAGACTGAGCACCAGCACATGAGGAAGGAGAAACAAAGTGGAAAATAAAATCTCCAAACAGGAAAACAAATGAATAGAAGTTACAGAACAAGGGTTTTTATGACTAAGGGGTCTTGGGGCTAAGAGCAGAACAAAGTCCTATTTTAAACACAGCAGGGACTTGTTCAACAGTAGGGCTATTAAGAAAAAGAAAACGAGGTATAAAGAGACAGACAAGCACATACCACACTGATTCAACAAAGCCACAGGGCA